TGTACTCTCATCCTCCTCAAAAATAAACCCCCAAATCTGCCAAACTCTGTTTGGCAGCTTTCCATCCTGAAATCAGTTCATTTAAAAGGACAGTACATCTACACAAGTATGTCAAGATTAAATAAAGAAGAAAACTATATATCAAATACATTGATGGGGAGTGCAGGGAACTATATGCAGTTTTTAAGACTTGTGTAGATTCCTTCAACTATTTCCTCCAAAAGAGAAAATGCATCATATTCAACAGAGTCCAGCCTGGGCTCTAGGAAGAGAGGAATACAGACCAGAACCTGAGACTCCTGTACATCTGATTTGCTGAAGAGGAACAAGGGCTCTGATTTACGACAAACTCATCCATAACACTTCCATAGTTTCCCCTGCTGTAGCCAAACTCTTTTCTGCACATCACTTCTTATATATGAGCATTACAGGGAGACTGAGCCATTTTAATGTGTCCCAGTATGAGGCACAGACCATGCTGCATGTCCATCCCATCATTTCAGACAGTTATGGTGGTACTGGAACACTCTAGATGTCTGCTCACCATGAGAAAACAAAAGCTTGGGTTTATTCCCCCAGCAGAAAAATCTCACTTCCTACAACATGTGAGCTTCTAATCCCAGCTGGGGAATGGTTCTGCAGAAGCTGAGGAAATGCCATCCTGTAAATGAATACCTCAACTTCCCTTTGGCATGCAGAATGAACCAGCTCCTCCAATTCCAGCAGGGAGCCTTTCCAAATTATGCTTTGATTTTACTACTTAACAGGAGGAGGAGAAAAGGTGCTATAGCTGGTAGCTACTGATATTTAATCTTACACTTATTTTTACTTTATTGTTTTCTATAAATAGTCTTGTCTTTCACCAGCTCTACTGCTGATAGAACCTTTTCCAGTAACTGTCAACATTACACAAAGCCTTTACCCCTGAGAGAGAAAGAAAGGAGAGGGTGGAAGATGAGAGACAACTACTAATCCTGCAGAGAGACGAATCACACATCACAGGACTCCCTGCTACTTCAGAGCCTTCTACAGTAAACAGCTGTATCATAATTTTGTTTGCTTAAGGTCAAATCTCCCCAAAATATTATTTGGAAATGCAGCAGCCTGGATCTGACCCTCTACAACTCCCAGTCACATCCCATGTCAGCTGGGAGTACCTGACAATGTCCTGGCTCTATCTGCACATTGCCTCTGCCACTTGGGCATATGTACACTTGTACACTAATCACACACTGACTCATTTATTTCCTTTGATAACATTAAAAAATAATAATATCATTACTTTCTGGGGGAAAACTGCTGTCTAGAAAGGCAGGAGGCATTAGGATGATCTCAGTGTGTTTGTCTAGGATGTCAGCTGGTAACTGCTCACTATCATGGAACTTGGGCCATGATTTTAAGTGACTTTGTGTCAACACATTTTAACAGCTTGATTATTAGACAAGGTAGCACATTCTAAAAATCATGATTCTTTGGGATGGTTTAAATGGATCATTATATAAATTGGAATAGCAAAATTGGAATAGTAAAATTGGAATAGCAAAATTCTTGTTGTTAATGTTGTCAATATCTAATTTTCAACTAAAAAGTAAGTCTTTCAAGATGACTAGTAGAGCATAAGAATGTATTAGAGACTTGCACCAAAACCAGCACCTACAGGACTCCAATTTGCACAGTTTATTTCAGTGCACTCTCCACTACACCACACTGGCCATGAGCTCTTTCACATCATCCTGCCTCAGACACTGCCCTCAAACAAACCAGAAGGTCACTAAGGCAACAAGTCTGGCCCTGAATTCTCACACTGTATATTACCTAGCATTTTTCTTTTGATTAAATATGGTCTTTACAATTCAACATACTGTTTCTTACAATTTTTTTAATATATGAGAAATATATAAAGAGAACTGATTACTTGAATCTGTTATCTGTGATAAATATCACAGAACTGGAAATCAGCTCTGGGTACTTGTTTGTAAAGCAGCAATGGAATCAGTATTTCCCTGTACTGTTCCCAAGAAAGGGACATCTTGTCTACATGGAAAGTTTTAAAAGATCATGGCTACATCCAATAGTTGAGCAAAAATAGAGTGTCTCTTGAGACCTTCTGCAAAATCCGATGATTTGATTGCACAAATACAGTGAAAATGTAAGTAAGTGTGTATAATATAGGATTAACTTTTGAACTTCATCTAATAAGTGACAAATAACATACTAAGGTACCAGCAGAGCACTTCCAGATGTTCCAGCAGATGCTGAAATGCAAAATACTGTGTGTTGGCTGTTTTAGAACCATTCATGTTCCCAGAGAGTAGCCATGTATGATATACACACATTGTAAAAGACCAGTGGAAGGTTCCTATCTGAATACCCCAAATAAGCAAAAGTAAAGGTAAGGAACTGCTGTTAGTGTCATTTGACAAAACACATCAGGAGACTGGAGCAACTGCCTGAGGACACATGTGCCCTGAACCAGAGATGAAACTTCCATCTCCTAAATTATCCCCTTGCATTTTAGCCAAAAGCAAAACATCTAGACAAGCCTCCAAGGTTCCAAATCACTCATAATTAAAATGTAATAAATTCCATTCAGCAGTGCTAACAATAAAGGAATATGTGTGCATCAAGCTAGTGCATCCTTAGAGAGTGAAAACAACAAAACCACAAGTTCAGCAGCACCGATGCGGGAATTAGATTCCAGTATTGTTGTTAACTTTTCATTTTCACTAATGGCTTTTAAGAAAGCCCGACATTTTTCCTCAGTCCATTTTACCTTTTCCCTCCATTTGACAAATATTGATTTTCATTTCCTCCAAGTTTAAGTGCATTGAATGCTACTGTGACTGGTTTGTTTGCTTTTTTGTTTGTGTCCCAGCTTTATTGAGGATGCCAGCATGAATGCATACAGCTTTCAAAAGAAGGAATTGGTTTAATAACTTCTTAAGATCCAGGAGAGAGCACAGGGGCCCAGCCTGCTTTTTGTATAGGTCATGCAGGAAAAGTGACTCTAGGTGCCTGTCTGATGTCAGTAAGGATACTCTGAAGCAATAGGGACAGTGTTTTAAGCAGCTACTGCTGTGCCCTGTAACAACAGGACAAATTATGGAGTGTTCTTCCCCCACTTCAGTGCAAATTTAGACATACTTCAGTGGCATTCTAAGCAAAGGTTATTTTGTAGGCAGTTGTCCCTGTAGGAGGTTAGGTTTGGAAGGTAACACCTCGTGAAATTCTGGCTCAAACAAGCCATAGCTTTATGAATTCTTTTCTGCCTGACTCACTGATATATAAGCTCAACCTCCTTTTGTGAAATGGTCTCCTTAAGCTTTACAAACCTGTCCAGTACATTTTGGACTCTTTCTATCTTAAAGAAGGAACCAAGTAAGAACTCCCTCAGACCTTGTGGTGATACGAATGAAGAGTGCTTCTGAGATCTATTGCACCCATTCAAACATGGAAGCAGGAGAAATCTCAGTGGACAGGAATAAACATCTGAACTGAAAGGAAAAGAAAGTAACACCTTAATCAACCACATCCAGCACTACAAAAATTGTCTGTACAGGACTCAGGCACTCTTCAGTGCTAGAAGCCAAAGTAATTTCAGCTGACTAAAGCAGGGGGTAAGGTTGGTTTGTGTGCATCAGCGCCAGAGGTCTGTGCTGGTGCTGGGGTTCCCCACAGCTGAGCTAACTGGTGATTTACCAGCACAGCCAGCCCCTTCTCAGCAGCAGCTCTGGCACTGGGTGCTGAGACCACTCAGCACTCAGCCTAGACAAGCAAATAGACACATAAACCTCTGAAATCTGGTCTGCCTCTCTCTACATCATTTCTTTCTATGCATCCTTTAAGGACCAGAAAGACAGGGTTCATGTGAATGCACGTTTAGTACTGAACATGATTATCCACTTAATTATTGTACATATGAAACAAATGTTAGCTTCACTAGGTATTAACTGACATTTTAAAATCCTGATGAAAGTAAAGCAACTCAGAATTATTCACTGCTAAGAAAAGTTTATTTTCAAAGCAGGTTATGCTTTGAAAAAATTCTTAACATCATTAATCTGATTAGTCTCACTGCCTTCACTTTGGAATAATTTTTAATAAAAAAGATGAAGAAAAACAAAGAAAGTAGTGATGAGCAGGGTTAAATCCATCATAGTGTGCCAGACCACTCCATCTTTTGTTTTCCATATTCAATTCTAAATAGTTCTTATGTTACACCACCTGATGCCAGGTGCTTCAGGGCTTCTGCTACACCCACCTGACACTGTGATGCTGCATTAAGACCTTTAAATAATGAAAATAGACCTTTGCACTTCAGCACTGTGCTGGTCAAGAGAGCTGTCTGTACAGATGACGTGAATGTCTGCTAACATGGAGAGACTTCTAACTTTTGAAATGAAATGACACCAGGAGTTTCAGGGCTGATCTTTCCAGAGAGAATCTTACTTATTAGCAGAGGTGACGAGGTATAACATGGGCACAGACATGCTTTTGGTGCCCATCTAACCTGATTTTAACGTTCCTTCCAGGTGTGACAGTAACTTCTGAAAGTTCAGAAGAGCTTGCAGCTTGGGTTAACTAATTATTTGCTATAAAAAGAAATATGGCATCACTTTCTTTGCAGCTCTCCGGTGGGTGCTCGCACAGGTGTACTGCATGCTCTGAGATATTGGCCTCAGTCTCCACTCAGAGCATAGCACAGAATGACTGCAGCCCTCACAGGCGTGTTTCTCACCAGCTCCTGCAGTGCTAGACAGACTTGAGCACTGAAGAAAATTCCTCTTTTCTGCTCTCCTTTTTTCTCTTTTTGTGCTCGTCTTCCCATATAATTGAGAACTTTTTCCTCTTAAGAATTTTAACTTGTGGATTAAAAAATACATGTCTAAATTAAAACAGGAGATAAAATGGAAATTGAAGAGATTTGTGATAGGACAAACAATAATATGATTGAAACCAGAAATGTTATTTTAATCACTATCATTCCTACACCTTATTACCTGTAAAATATATCAGTCACTGGATGTTGTTCAGGGCATCCTGGTATCCCATGTCCCTGGAACAAGATCTTCCCAGGAAGGAGTCACAGTGCACCCACTATCTTCCAGGCATCTCCTAGGCCACTGTTAAAGTGACACAGGGACTTGCTCAGGGTAACTCTTCCAGTATTAACTGTAACCTGGATGTAAAACCTAGAAATATCAAGTCAGAAAATCATAAACAAAGCTGTCAGTAACTGTTCTCAGCTGAGGCTCCATACTTTCCAATTATTCTTGTTATTTCCTATTAAGAATTGTATTTCCAAGCCTCTACTCCTCAATGTTTTGCCTAGAGATACATATTTATATAACAGCCTGTGTTGTAGGTGAAATCTTTAAGTCAATTTCAGCTTGGCAGTTAACAGACATATTGCTTCCAGCTTTTATAAATAACTGTATCTACTTATTTGCAAAACATTATTTTAACTTCTGTCAACTCATATGCATAAGAGAAGAAAAACAAATTTTAAAAAGTTTTTTTGATTGGAAAAAAAAACCCCAAACAAACCCCAACCAAAAAGGAACAAGCCTGGGGAACTACTGAACACTGACAGGGAAACAAACCTGCAGAGCTATGGAACACTGGCAAGGAGACAGCAAAAAAGAACTGTCGTGCTTCAAAGTCACACCTTCTGCTGCCAAGTAAAACTGGCCTCACGCAAAGATACAGCCACGTAAATTGTGACTTCAGAACTTTCAAAAGCAGGAAGCACGCCCCAAAGATATGGTCAAAACCAGCAGCAGCCCCTGCATTTTGATGGTCAGCAAATATTCTTCACAAAGCAGGAACAAACCGAGGCATTTATTGCCTGCTGCAACCGGGAGGGCTTGCAACCTGTCCCTAAGTCTCAAGCCAAAGCCCAGCCTAGGAAGAAACACTGAAATTCAACAGACTTTTCCCTAAGAAAAGGGTTTAGGATTTGGTCGTCATCAGCACACGAAATAAACCGGGCAATTTGCTGCTTCCTCTCCCTTCTCACGCCTGCCTGGCCAATACGGAAACCTCATTCCTGCCCTCCCCGTGTGCTGCCCCGATTGCCTCTCCACTCCGCCGGTACCGCGGCTCCTTTTGTCGAGCCCTTCCCTCGGTCAGCCCCGCTCCATCCGCCCGCTGTGCCCCGGGAAGATGCAGCGAGTCCCCGCCGGGCTGCTCCGCCGCCGGGCACCGCGTCCTCGCCGCGCTCGGGAGCCCCAAACTCCCCGGGCCGGCTGCTGCCAGTGGGAGCCCCAGATTCCCCTCTCCCGGAGGGAGGGGCCGTGCCCCGGCCAGCGCGGTCCTGCCGCTCCGCCGCGGGCTCTTTCCAAGCCGGGAAGTTTCGCAGGCCATTAGCCCAATTTTTAAATAAATCACCTCTGTTTCTGGGTGAAGAAAATTACTCGGGATGATTAAATGATTGCGTTGAACGATCGCTGGCGCTTAAGAGAAAGAAAAAGAGAATACCAACCCACCCCACTGTGCTTTATTTTAATGTATGATAAAATTGTGATGGGCGAGACGGGGCGGGGGGAGGAAAGGGTAAGGGGGGAAGAAAACTTTGTTGCTAATGAGAAAAATGAGGCCGCGAAAACAAAACCGTAAAGAAAAAAATTCTTCTCTTGAATAAGGATTAATTCAGTGTCTGTGAATAAGAAACGCTGCGCTGGGTAATTGCAGCGAGGTAGCGCGGCTCCCAGCTGCGAGGCGATGCGGGCACCTTTGTGCGCTTGCCAGGACAGCTCTGGGGAGAGGTAACTTCCCCCGGTCCCCACGGTCTTGTGTTGAGTAACGGGAAATTTAAAATTCCGCGTTTCCAGAGAAAGTTATTCCCACCACACCCCGCTCCCCCTCGCAGGAGGCCAGCTGGGTGCTCCGCCTGACGGGGCGGGGAGCCCCGAGCCGCCTCTGGCCCCGCACCCAGCGGGCACAGGGACGATGCTCCCGGCCTCCGCAGGGCCGGCCCCAGCCCCGCTCGGGGCTGCCAGGAGAAAGGGAACGGGATCAGTGCGGGGACTACGGCCCGGCACCTTCCCACTGCGGGCGGCACAGCCCGGGCACCCACGGCTCAGTCCGGGCACCCATAGCTCAGTCCGGGCACCCATGGCACAGTCCGGGCACCCATGGCTCGGCCAGGGCACCCATAGCTCAGTCCGGGCACCCATGGCTCGGCCAGGGCACCCATGGCTCGGCCCGGGCACCCATGGCTCAGTCCGGGCACCCATGGCTCAGCCCCGGCACCCATGGCTCGATCCGGGCACCCATGGCTCGGCCCGGGCACCCATGGCTCAGTCCGGGCACCCATGGCTCAGCCCCGGCACCCATGGCTCAGTCCGGGCACCCATGGCTCGGCCCGGGCACCCATGGCTCGGCCCGGGCACCCATGGCTCGGCCCGGGCACCCATGGCTCAGTCCGGGCACCCATGGCTCGGCCCGGGCACCCATGGCACAGCCCGGGCACCCATCCCTCGGCCTGGCACAGCCCGGGCACCCATCCCTCAGCCCGGTACAGGGAAATGGATGCACGGGGCGCTGGCCGCTCCTGCCGCCAGCACCCACCTCCGCCGACAGCAGCGAGGGCAGCGCTCTCGGGAGCGAAGCAGCAGCACGGCGGGGCAGCCCCGGCTCACCGGGAACCGGAGGGCTGTCCCGGGAGAAGCGCTTCGGAAGGGCTGGGGGATAATAAAAGGGTCTGTCGCATCCCCTCGGGCAGCGGCCCCTCCTTGTGCCCGCGGCCCCTCCGCTCAGCCCTTGTGCGCCGGGGGTCCGAGGGTCCGCTCACGGAACCGGCCGGGGCGGGGTGAAGCCCCAAGGTACAAGAAAGAAAATCGCTTTTTTCCCTTTTTTTTTTTTTTTTTTTTTTTCCTGGTTTTTGTTTATCTGTTAGCACGCGAATGATGCCAAGCACGTACGTTACCCACCGGCAGAAGCTCCGGGTGCCCGGGAAGGTTCGCGAGTGCGGGGCCCTCCTGCCCCGGGCGCGGCTTCCCTCGCAACCGAAAGACTCCGCTTCCCCGTGGGAAGAGTCTCCGAGGGCTGAAGTTAAAGGCACTAATGAAACTCAAGCCGCGGAAAGGAAACCCTCCCGGAACGCTGGGGGCTGCTAACCCTTCCCTGGCAAATTTTCTGTTGCACAAATCTCGACTCAGTTTAAAAGGAGAATTAGTTAGTATTTCATTGATAAAATCATCAAAATTCTTTTAATTTACCTTTTTCTGAGACCAAAAGGTGACTTAAAATTCTTAAATATTCACATTGACAAGCCAACTGGCTCTAGCGTACAACTTACATGTTAACAAAAATGCATATCATGTACCAGGTGAATCATCACATTCGAACAGGAAAAGTCCTAAAGACATGAAGTCCAAGAGGTATCCAGACTACAGCGTTAATATGCAGGATTTATAATCATAGGAAGGGGAAAAATCCTCAAGAAAATTATTTCTCACCCCAGCTCTTCAGTTGTAAATCCTCTCTACTCTAATGCCCAACTTGCAACTCAGGCTATGGGAAAAGCTAAGTGATCATTTCTTGTTTAAAAAGGTGGGCAACTCCCCCCACAGTGATCCTGGAAAATAATCCTGTAACAAAAACCACCTGAATTTTGGAATGGTTTAAAACAAAACAAACAAAAAAGTATATATAGTCACATGGACACAAAATTGGCTATGCCTGTTGGTGGTTTTGAAGGCATAATTTGAAGGCAGCCAATCTGATTTATTTTTCATAAATAGCAATGTAAAGAGATGAAACTCTACTGGGTGAAAATATTGGACTGAATTATGTTTGACAAACTCCCATTGAGGTTAATGATCATGGCAGGTTTTTAAGGGAAGCCAAATCATGTGCAAGGCCAAAGCAATTAGGTTTTGTTTGGTATGGTTTTTTACAATCAAGTTATAAACCCCACATAGTATATGGAGGCTTGCAAGTGGACATCTTAACACAGGTATAGCAGCGTAAGCATGCCACAAACATACAATCTCATAAAATAAAATTAATATCAAATATAAAGCATTTGAACCAAATCAAGCCTTAAACATAATAAATTATTTCCTTCAAAGGAAATAATTACCTTACCTAGGCTCAATAAGGTCTTTGCTAGCAGCATTTTTTTTTAATAAACAAATTAAAAATGCCAAAATATCTACAATTTTGTGAGAAGGAGGAGTTGAATAGTTAAGGAGAAATTTCTCACTATTAGGGGATATGAAAAATATACTAGCAATTAATATGCAATACATATATGTATACCCATACTTACAGATATAAACACGCACATACAACCTGGACAGTTCATGTTAACCAAGGGAAAGGCTAAATAATACAAAGTGATTACTAAATACAAGTACACTTTAAAAACACAGAGACAGCAAATTTTTTATCTGTTGCAAAAATGTATTTGATTACTCGAGTAAAATTACAGTATCTCTGCTGTTAGTAAGTATTAAATGTTAAAGAAACTGGACCTCTTTTCCTTTCAACTTTCCGAGAAAGTGCATGTAACAGTCCAAGGTTCCCCCTGTCCCCCCCAATGCCTAATACAAAATAAACAAACACTATACTTGTTCCCTTGGTCAAGGAGTAGGGCTTGGTCTTGTAAGGACGTATGTATATTTTAATGAAAGTGATGTCTTATTGTATGTACAGGAGCATCTACAGTTGTCCACGGAAGTTGTTCAAGATGCCATACTTAGCAGCATTGTGAAAGTCCAGCACATTTTCTATAATGAATATACCTACAAGGCAAAATGTTACGTCTCAGTTTCAACTACCAAAACAACACTTCAGTATCTTCTCTAATAATCCGCGTGCTTATTACTGTACAGAAATGTATTAACATTTAAGACGACTCAAGTAAAAAGCACAATACAAATAACAGTTCAAAACGGAAAATGTTAAACCTACAAAAATTAAAGCAGTTTTAATTTTATAATAAAAATCAAAAACTGAGCTGTGTAAAGGATCCACACTGTTCAGTCTATATTCTCTCAGTCCTTTTCTTAGTTCTGTCTGGAAAAATTAGACAATGTGTTTGCTGATAAAGTTTCCAGCAGGATCAAAGTGTACATTTATATACAGATTTTTATTAGAGATCTAATGCATCACTGAGGCATCGCATCAATACCAGAGTTTGTGTTAAATTGGATATAGAAAATAAGTTAATGCCAGAATAAGATCACCTAGCAGAACAGACTTGCAACTGCCATAAATGTTACAGCAAGTTTACAGCACTCTAGTCGATTAGTATTTAGTTCAAAATACGGGAGACCAAAGTTAATGCTTGCATTCATTTGCAAAGCAAGGTTATATCACTAATAAATAAGCTCTCTTAGAACTCTAGAAGTAGAACATGGTACAAAACAAAGTCTTGGTAATGTTGTAGCCTGCAGCTTGAAAAAAGCAACCCTAGGTTGCAAGATTTGCAGGAATGTTATTTATGGAGACTTTTTTCCTAATTTGTTACAATTTCTTTGTTGTCTTCCACGAAACGCGTGAAACGGAAATTAGTCCCATTTTCATTGCTTGCCATTTTCTCCAGACCAGCTAGAGGTGCATTGGGTTCTGAATTCTGGAGCTTCTCCAGGCTTCCTGTCAAGCCACTGATGGGAGAGCTGCCACCGTTGCCCAGGCCCCCTGGTGCTGGAGGGATGCCCCCATTCTGGATGACGGAGATCTCGTTGGTCTTCATGGCCAAGCCATTGGAGAGTGCAGCTGCATACTGGTTCCAGAAGCTGGACGGGTCTCCATTCCCTGACCGTGCAGCCAAATCCTTCTGAAACATTTCTGGGAACTTCACAGGATTGCCTCCTAGGAATGTCATGGGGCCATCTACAGAAAGTCGTCTGCCTCGTCTTGCAGGAGTACTGTTCCACATGTGAGTGCCCATGTGAACCTGGGAAGAAAGAAAGGAAGAAACAAACAAACAAAAAATAGAGGTTTACAGGAATTTCAAACTGTTTTTGATCAGAGAGAAGGCAGGAGTCCATGAACATGTCCAGTCTTGTTACATAATGAATGGCATTAAAGATAGAGGATACAGGGCTCTGGAATAATACACTGCTTCTGGGTTAGCCCATCACCATTACCCAGAACAACCTGCTCTCCCACTGAACAATGCATTGCTTCTTACTTTTTTTTTCATGACATGTATTTAGTTTATAATGACTTTGCATTATTCTGTCAATTGCTGCTTTCAGGGCTAGAATTGCTATGTCCACTTTCATTGCAATGGTAAGTATTGTATTTGACACCCTTTACCCTATAAACGTCCTTTTCAGACAGGCAGAAAGTATCCTTTACTGATTGCTCATCGGAGAGCCTCGTGTATAGACAGAATAGCCTGAAAGTAATTATTCATCTCACTTTACTGGCAGCAACCTCTAGAGAAATACTCTGTCAATAGAAAAATGTACACAGTAAAGTGCTCAACTGGTGTTCTAAAACTTGAGTATATTTGCTTTTTCAAACACATATCAGTAGGAAATGTTAGTTATACAATCAATTAAAGTAATGCCTATTATTTCCAGAATTATGTTAATAGTTTTTTTAAACACTCACCTTACATGATATTTATGAAAAACATCACATTCAAGAGCCTTTCACTTCTTGAAGGGGTATGTGAGTTACAAAATGCATTTCTCTGTTAATTAATACTCCTTACCATCATTTGGCTGTTCTGTTTCACACTCTGCATAGACAAGCTTTGCTGGTAGATGAATTTAAATTAAATCAAAACAGCTCATGCCTCAGACTTGCTGCCAACATGAGCATCCAACAAGAGGCCATCTAGGTCTACTAGAGCTGGCTAAACACACTGTCACACCACAAACACCCAAAGGTACCACTGCTGCAACTTTAATAGGTGTCAAAAATCAAAAACCCCCAGCAAAGAGAAAATGAAAGCAAAGGACAGTAAGAGGAAAAAGTACCTTCAGATTGCCTTTTGTTGTGAATGCTCTTCCACATATAGTGCAGGCAAAAGGTTTCTCACCAGTGTGTGTCCTTTCGTGGATCTGCAGAGCACTGGAAGAAGAAAATGT